ATACTATATATATATATATATATACGCAGAACGAAAAGAATATCCCTTTTTTTTATTTCATTAATTTCACCTCCACATACGGTGTATGTATAATGCAATGATTGTATTTATTTTACATCTTTCCTTTTTCCCTTTTTCCCCCTTTTCCTTTCATGAGAAATCGTACATATATAGTACATGTACTGTATGTATGTACATACATTCACTCCGTCCCACATGCCTTGCCTTGAGATCCAATCGACTGGATCGTTAACAGGGCAGGGCAGGCAGAGATAATATCAAGTATCCTTGGGATTGCGAGTATCCTCAGGAGAGCTGGTCTCCTCAGGAGATCTGGCATTAGAGCCAGTTTTTTCCCCATCTAGAGGACTCATTTCCAACATCCTCAGCACATGCGGCCCCTCAAACTTCCTGACCACGTCCATGATATATCGGTACTGCTTCAGGGGAACATTCTGTCTTTCCCGGCGGTACCGGACCACGCCGGCGTGGTACATGGCGCGCGCAAGGGCCGGCTTGATGGGCGCCTGGTGGCGGTACAGGAACAGGTACAGCCAGTGCACCATGTCGAACGCATCTTTGGCGCGTATCTTCTCCGAGGTCGCGAAGGTGAGCGCGAGGAGGTGCATGACTTCTACGCAGGCGCGGGGGTCTGGGCCGTCGTATTTCGACAGTTCTTCCTCTTCTTCCTCTGTCAGCGGCTCGGATAAGATCACCGGCTTCTCTGCCTCTGACGCTACTTTCCTCGCTTTCCTTTCGGCGGATCTCAAACGGTAGAGCTCCGCTTTACTTGGCTTCGGCAATCGTGGCCATGCATTGGCTAGGGCGATGTGCAACGGCGTGTGAGAGGCGAGCAGACGTTTAAGGTCGAGAGCGCCCTGTTTCCCGCTTTCAACCAAACGGATGCTGTCGCGCACAAATTCCGGCGTGGTCACATCGATCTTTCGGATCATCCGCTCAAAGGTGGGAAACAAAAACGACTTGGTCGCATTGAACGCCTTGGTATCCGCGACGAGCTCCTCCAGGGTCATCTGCGACCGTTCGAGCTGTTCCAACACCTTGCGCGCGTTTCGATTCCTTAATTTCCTCATCGTCATGACGGTATAGGCCGTCGTCATCACGGTATTATACGGGAGGTGCAGCTGTTGAAGGACTTGAATCAGGTTGGCGAAAAAATCAGCTTCATTTTGACCCGACGTGAGGCAATCAAACTGCTTCAGAAGGGTGGTGATGGTCGGGTCGGTTGCTTTCGGTTGCACCAGCCAGTTGTCATCGTAATCCTCACGGAGGGCCTTTCGCAGCGCACTTAGCATCCACAGTCGAAGGACGATCAGGTGTTCGGTTGACACGTTCTGCGAATCGGGTAGTCGCACATCAAGCCAGACACGAGACGAAGCCACAGATTCAGCGTTGGGGATATTCAACAAACAGCGCCGCCAGTTCTCCAGAGCGGAATTCCAGTCCTGCTCACTTGTATGTGAGAATGCTAGATTCTCTGCTACCTGGAGGAGATATTCTGCAGCAAGATCGCCATCCAGTGGTCTCAAAAGATCGCAGAAATAGCCCACAATGACTTTCCGATAATGAAGCATGGTGTCCGGACGCACCGAAAGTCGCACAAATTGCCCGAGCAGAGTCGGGATCCAGCGACGGACAGTCGCGCAGGACTCCTGGCCTGCTAGGACAATGTCCTTCGCTAGATGCAGGAGCTCTTCATTTGACGTCACACCCAGCAACAACTCGCTGAGCCACTGGTCAAGAAGACTGTCGTCCAAATCTCTCAATTTCAAAACACTGCAGCCTCGGAGAGCCTCCCAGATGCGCCTATGGTGACGAATGAACTCTCTCAGATTCTCCTGACTTTTCAGCGTCGTGCCGCCCGATTTGACGTTCGAAAGAGCCTTGATTATCGGTCCAATTTCGGTATCGGGGATCAGCCCCAGTTCGATGGCTCTCACCACTGCGCCCAGTAATTTGTGCCTCTGAGCTGTTTTCACCTCGTATCGCAGGAGATGCTTCATGAGCGCCAAGTAGTTACCCGCTGTCGGAGGATTCAGAGTCGGATCATCCAGAAAGAGCAGGATCTCATCAACCATCTTGTTCGTGGAATGGATTGCTTTCGAGAGCAGGTGGCTGAACAGCCTCCGACTGTAAGCTGGCTCACGGGGAACGTCAACCCGGAACAAGTCCACAACCTTCTTGATGTCTTGTACTGTGCGGCAATCCTGCAAGTGCTCATTAAATTCCCGATTGTGAAGGACTCCATTGGCGACTGCACGGCCATCGGAGCCAGAAACGAACGACGGCAGACCATTGACGCCAAAGTTGCTTTCACCGCGTGAGGCAGATAACGAGGGTTCCGGAGGGGGTATAGGATAAGAGAATATTTCTAATTTGTCCGATTAGCAATGTCAGAAAAGCACCCCTGACAAGGAAATCTCTTACCTAGCGGTTCAGGCCAGGAGGGAGTAGTCAACAGAGGCTGATCATTCCCTCGCAAGTGTCCGCTGCCATTGACGCCAAACAAGCTGCCCACATCCACCGGCGGACCAGCACCACCTACAACGGCCAAGGCAGTATTCTTTCGCTTGGCCAGGCGTCTCCTGGCCTCCAATGGCCCCGGGACCCAGCTCTGGTGACGCCGCTGGTGGTAGTTGGCAAAACGCCGAAACGCCGAGGCGAGGTGCTCCTCGCTGATCCAGACATGGTCGAGAAACAAGGCAGCGGGCTGCTGCTGCAGCGCATGCCTATACGCATGCCTGCCAAAAGACATAGGGTGCCGAATGCATGGATGGGACTGGTAATTGGCGGCGATATTGATATTGATCACGACGGGTGGGATTTCCTTGCAACTCAGTCGGACAGAACCGTGCTAGTCGGGTGGTCTTGGCGTGATGACTAAGCAAGGTCTATCTCAACAGTACGAGAACAATAAACATAGAATTTTTGAGTATTACAATCAATCAAAATAAAAATGGAATTAAAGGGAGCTGAGTTTGAATTAAATCTGATTGATTTATAATGTGTTGAATGCCAGATTTCTGCAATCGCACTCCGCATCATTACCGTCCCTGGCATCAGTTCTCCCCGCATTTTTATATTATGACCAACTACAGCAGTCCTCAAGTGTGAAACGCATAATATTGGCAATAGGATAAAACAATCGTACCTCTCGAAAGCATTAGAAACGAAGCAATCTCACTGCTCACTATCCTTACAGCCATGATGGGTACGTGTATACGCACCTTCATCCATACGACAAAGCCTTATTAAATTTAAATAGATCAAAGAGCTGATTATTCAACAGCCACATACATACCTCTATTATTATTTTTCTATCTACAGCCCAGAAACAATAGTCACTATCAGCACATGTAGAAGGAAAAAAAAAATCTGGCAGGAATCACTAATTAATCTATTAGCCCTACAAAATAAAACCAATCACTGGATCAATCACAACAAACAAAGGCTTATGAAATTTAGATAGATAAAAGAGCTGATTCAACAGCCACAAACATAAGCCTCTATTATTATTATTTCTAGCTATAGCCCAGAAACTGTATTCATCATCAGCACAGAAAAAAAATTTAGGCAGAAATCATTAATTAAGCTATCAGCCCTACAGAGTAAAAAGCAATCTCATCTGTAAGGCTTGCGAGTGTTTATGTATGTACAGTACATACTCAAGACGATGAAGGAAGGACGATGGAATAATAAATAAATAATACGGATCGATTCTTCTACATATATATTTAGAATTTGGGGGTGTAATCAGCCTGTTCTTTTCTTTCTTTTCTTGATACTCTGATCTCTCTCTCTCTCTCTCGCTTATTTTCTCTGACTAACCGTCGTTTTTACAGTCTAGTCCTGTCAGTTAGGAATTCCAGGTCCAGGTTCTTTCTATATTCTACCCAGTATTCTCAGTCAAAATTCCATAGACGATCGTCCTTCGTTGTTTCTCGTCGATACAATCAATTTTTTTTTGTATTTGCGGAGCATGTTAAATTAACCTTCCAGTTTTACATACATCCTGCGCCTAGGTAAGTACTGTACCTAGGTAAATAAGTGCGTGGCAAGTAGATAGGTAAGGTATTGATTGATCAACGTCGTCGGCAAAAAAGGTAAAAATAAACAAACCCCAAAGGATGCATGCATGCAAGAACGCATTATTAATACATAGAGTGCTGCAGCACATCTGCTATGGAGTATGGATGGACTTCCTGTTTGTTTGCTTTTTTATCTTTTATCCAACCTCCGTCTCTCTCTCTCCTTCCTGCAAGATACTCTGTATACGATCCCAACGAATAAACTGTGTTACTACGACTTACCAGGCAGATCGACGATGACTGAGACATGCTTATATACGGAGTATATGGTGGCGGTAAAATGTCGGTTAATCAATGGATGGATGGATGGATGATGGATGGACGGTGTTGGCTCTAACTTCTCGCTAATAATTCCATGTCTCGTACGGACTGCATATATGCCTTACTCCGTACTCCCTTCTTGTTTGTTGTCAGGGGGCTGAGCTAGCTGATCGTCATGAGACAGGATAAATGATCCGACTGCTCACCATTGGTTTCTTGCTTAGATGCCCACTACGGAGTAATCGCTAGGGAAGCGGTGTGATACCTGATGATGTCAATGCTGAAGATACAACCAACCTACCTAGTTAACTATTATTGTGGACCTGCCGGGTCGTCGACTCGATTTTTCATCTTCTTGTTCGGATATGCTCACCGGATTGGGACATTGGTGCATCGACCTCGTTGACCAACCGCAGAATCTTGGCTTGGTTCTGATGAATCTCCTAGCTGAATTTGTTTGTTTTCTCTGGCTGCAGCTGCGTCAAGTCTCAGACAACGCACTTGTGAGTGCGTGATTCCGTGGGCGTTGCCTCCTTTTGGTAGACATACATCATGCATACGCAGTGCAGGGCGCTAAACAAGTGTCAATGCTGGCTCTGATCAGCTTTCCAACAGTCTCTTTCTTCTGTGTTGCAGCCTTGCAGGCCCTTTCCCACACGACACGCAACGGAGAATTCGTTTTCTGCATCTTCTTCCGGATGACACGGCTTCGAAAGGAAGACCCGGAAGCGAGGACTGCAAGTGCAGAAGCATGACCCAACGTGTCCGATTCTCGAGCATTCGACCAGCGAAGATGTGGTCCTTCCATTTCAAAACGGGCTGCTACTTATGTTGATCGTTATAATTAATGAACCCACATTGGGGAAGCAACAGATGGGCCTTGTGGCCGCCTTGATGGCTCAGCTTGGGCCTGGAGCGCAAGTTCTGGACTCGCTACAAGGCTTCGTCAGCTGTCTCGGAAGGTCTCTGACATGGCACGCCGAAGATCGAGAACGTAAACAAGGAAGAGGAAATGATAGAGGCTGGGAAAAGCACTCAGGGCTTTTCGAACGGTTTGTTTGGTTGCCTGTACTCAGGTGGGAAGCTCTGCAGAGCTTCATAGCTCATAATCTGTGCAGTTAACCCAACAAGCGGACGACAACAAAGGCTGATCATAACAACCATAATAAAAAAAATTTTTTTGACATGGTCCTTGCTGGGGTCCTTCCCAATCGGTGCTAATACGAGGACTAGAACTGGTTCTTCGTTGAGACATATGTAGCCATCCGTCTAGATTTCGGAACTTCACGGTGTGGAGTCGACGACTAAAGGGAGTCAGGCCCTGTCAGGGACCGATGAAACACTCTCCAGAGGCGGCCAGCCGTCGAGCATTCGGCTCCAAGTCGTGTTCGTATGTGTATACTCGGTAGTGAACCCGAGTAGCTGGGAACGTATCCCTAGTAGTGCGTTATTTGCAACGCCACCCGAGCTAGTTCGAGGCGGTATGAAACACTCCATTAAGCATCAACAACCCGAGATCGCTTGACACCATTCCTCACTTATCTGGATTTGCACCTCGAATGAGAGAACAATTGTTATTATTAAGTACCCAAGTCAGCCGCAAATTGTCACGCCACCGTAGACTCGCTGCAACCAATGCGGCGACCAATCACCTTGGCAATCGTCCAGGCACCCCTGCCATAATAATCGAGAAGAACGAGGAAGAAGAAGATGGGCGGATGCCCCAGCAATAGGGGTCGGTTCCAATTTCCGTACCAACAACCTTCTTCTGTTCCCGAGCCTGTGGTTGCACTACGGGCGGTTCGTCGTCTAGTGTGGGACGTGTATCAAAGCCTGTCGGCCTGCAGATCCAGCGGCCTGGTTCAGGGGCCATCAGGGTCTCCCCAAGGTTACCGTCAGCGCGGTACTCTGGACGTCCTCGCCGTCGTCTCTGGTGTCGAGCAGGGAAGCGAGTCAGCCCGCAGGAAGCGCCATGGCCGCGTAGCCAAGCCCGACGGCGCAGATTGAGACTGCCGGGCGAGACAGGCCTGCGCTGCCGGTCATCGCTGGACAGGGGGTCATTCTGGGCAGCATCCTGCCCCTAATTTTTGCGATCGGCGGCGCCATGGACTCCCCCAGTCGGTGTGCCTCTGGCCCCATCGAGAAACCACCTACTCGCCTAGGGGGAGGCCGTTGCTGGGAGAGTCTGGCTGCGAGGAAGCTTCGCGGCAGCCATCATCCTTCGCGCGGCCGGCGGGCGACATGAGTCATGGAGCGAATCTCCGATCTGGCGCGGGCAAACTTGGCGTTAATTGTTACTATTATGGACTATGCTCAAACCGTCAGTTGAGATCCGACGAGCTGGCAACGCAGCGGCTTTTCTTGTGTGGGCGCACGGTTCTCGTACCCGCTAGTCGCGACCCCGGACTCTCTCCTCTGCGTCACCGCCGCTTCAGTAGTACTACTAGAAAAAGGCGCAGAATCGTAAACAGATATTAGGTAATAATATCTGCGGTACCGCAGCTAGCGCACAGGTACTTCGTGCTCCCTCCTCAGTCTGTTGTCGACGATAGCGTGACCCTGGCTGCGCGCTGCCGACGAGTTCCGCACACCGGCCTCCGCAGTGGGCGAGCGACGCAGGGACTGGCAGGCTGGCTGCTGGCAGCATGGGTGTGACCTCTGCGACTTGCATGATGCGTGTCCTTGACCTTGTTCTTTGCGGAGAACAGTCGGTCAGCCAGGCAGGTCAACCGCCCTCTCCACCTGACCTCCCAGTCGATGATCCACCCCAGCGTCGCCCCGTTATCACACTCACTGCTGCCGCCGTCGTGACTACTATTCTTGCCGTGGTCTGGTGTTGGATCCTGGCTCGTTGAGAGAAGCCCTGTTAGGCAGAATGCTCCGTACATACACTGGCCCTCTGGCTGCCTCGTTGCCTGTGATAAGTGTTTATCCGGCGGAGAACAACCACCAGGCAAGCCAATCAATCCCTGGTTGCTTCTGCAGGTAGGGGTCCCCGGCGGGAGATCTACTCGTCCTTGTCAGGTAGCTAATGTCCACTGGGTAGTAACTCCTACGTAGATGACACGTCTCATTCCCGGTTCGGTGTCTACACTTTCAACATTTCTCCATCTTACTTGACGATGATGATGATAAGGCTCCCGGGATGTCAGAGTCCAAGACGTGTGAGATGGTGGGCATTCGGCATCTCTCTAGGGACGTGTGCCGACTGGATTGCTGCCAGATACTCCGTACCTCTTTAGTGTTGCTATTCCCCTGGCCGTTATAATCAGGTCGTCATAATCAGCAATATCCAATGGGTTTAGCAGAGTAACGGCCATCTATCGAAACCCAGAAACCCACAGGAAGATCACCGCGGACTCCAGCTGTCATGCCCTCTAAGTCATAACGAGTGACATCATCGAAAATTCCGAGAAAACGGCCGGTGGTCCTGCCAAGCACTGGGGGCAGATTGCCAGTCTGAATCCAAATGCCGGAGTAGACGGTTCGGCGAAATGGCCTCGTGTCATCGTCTCAGTGAAAGACATCCAGCTGGTATGACGTTAATAGCACCGTCACGGGTGTAGTGCTAACATGACACTTGCAATGATCTGGCGGTGTTGCCACTGCATCAGTGCGGCCGGTGTCAGAGAGAGAAAGTCGTCAAGCACCATCGAGAATGGAGATGAGGTTGAAGGGGTCGCCCCTGGTGTATGCTGCGCACGAGGATCATGATCCTGGGCGTCCAGGGTAACTATTTGAAGAATCAATAAGACCACCGGTCAGCGCCGCACGGAGGACGGAGTGCTGCGGTCGGAATCTGCAGGAGGCTGGCAATCACAACGGTCACTAGGCGGAGGTCAGTTCGCAGATGATGGGCGACTCTGGAGCAAAGGCCGTCGGGATTCGGTAGCTCTCTGTGGTTAGGATGGGAGGGCGCGATAGTTGCTACTTTTAGTGACAGCGGCCAGCTCTCTTCATTGGAAGGCGGCTGCTGTCTTCTGGCAGATGACGCCGGCAGACGACCGGAGCGTTGGATCTGGCAGCTAGTCCCGGCCTAACTCAGCCTACTCAGGCCTCTCCGTAGCGGATCTCACTGGCGAATGGCCTAGAGAAGCCTGGCCGTAGTTTCAGACCAGCAGATGTGGACGAAGACGAGTCCGTTCCTCGAGAGAGAGAAGACTTAGGATGATGCTGTCGATCGAGCCTGCGGAACTTCCCGCAACCGCTTTCCCAAGAACAGCAGCTGGGCCGTTGGCTCTTGGACGGTGCAAGACTGTTGGTCGGAAAAACATCCGACGCCAGCAGCAGATAATAACAACAGTCATAATAGCGGCCGCGCTGTTAAGCCTGTTATAACCCGCGGCCGTGGGTCAGCAGAATCCTCCGGCACTTCGATCGGTTGTGCAGCTTGTGCCCCTGCCGTCGACTTTGTCCTGCCCCCTGCAAGCACTGCCAAGCAGAGAGCGATGGGCGGGGTGTAACTCAGCAGTTCATCGTAGACGGTAGACGACTCTTGACTCTGGAGAGACAAGCCACACAGGCGCACGGAGAGTCGCAGCGGGCCGCTCGAGCCCGTTGCTCGTCCTCGTGGGCGTTTCTTCACGCAATGAAACACGAGCCTGGACTGATCACTCCTGCGCTGGGGCCTTATACCTGGACCAGATCACAATGGGAAAGGATGGGCTGGCGGTCGATACTCAGAACACTCCGTACTCCGTACTCGTATCTTCCAGAACAGAAACGTAGGCCAAACTCGAATCAGGTCGTGCAGTGGAGGGTAGGACGATGGAGGACGCTGGACGCACCATCGCTTCGACTGCAGGCTCGCAACGCTCGCATTCCAGGATCCTGGGACGCCCGTGCTCTGGTGCCGGTGTCAGAGCAGGGGCTTAACGGTGCCCCGGGATGGCCGAGACGGGCCCTCTGCAGCCAAGACGCGCAGCTGCGTGCCTGTTCGGGCGATGAACGCACGCCGTGCAGAAGACCATCCCCGCCTGGGTCTTGGTCGGTCGTTGGCCTCGCTGGCGCGCAGAGGCATCGCCGATGAGGCGCTGCAGCTGCCACCGTCGCGCTGGAACTTGGCGTGATAAACTTTCCGACTGCAACTCCCAAAAAATAGGAAGTGGGCCGCCGTGGCTGCCATCGCGCATCCTAGACAGCTCTGTGTGCTTCGTCGATCCTGATAGCCAAATCTCCGTCCGCCGTCCTGAGGGCGGGGTTCCCGCCAGCGAGGGCCCGGCGATGGGCAGGAGAAGGAGCCCTAGGCTGGTTGCACGGCGGGCAGGGCGGCCTTTTTTCTCTTCTGTGTCTCGTTTCTTTTTTTTCCCTTCTCCTTTCCTCCGGCTCTGTTGCGCTGGTGGCTGCTGCGTCGAAGTTTTTCGCTCCTCCCCGTGCCGTCAGGGAACCAAGTCCACGGTGCCGGTGCTCCTGTCCAGCGGGGCTGTCCCCCCTCGACCCAGACTTTGCCTTGAAAAAAAGCGGCTCCATCCTCCATCTCGCGCGACGGTGCATGGTAGATTGCTCTTCTGGCATAGTTTCACACCGACGGGCCGGAGCCAGCCCAGGAGTGTCTGTGGAGACGGGTCGCTAGTGGTCTGGCAGCATGGCGATGACACCCGATGTGAGCGAACCTCTGTCGTCTGGCTGTTTCTTTTGAGTCTTCTGTGCCCCGTGTCTCTGTTTGTCAGATTGTCTTGCTGGCTGGCGAACACTGTCTGTCTGCTGTTGACCAGAAAAAAGCTGATGAGAGATGACAAAGGATTCGTCCAGCGATGACTGGTTAGTACGACGCGACCCTGTCAGAGGACTTCGAGCATCGTCCACACCTGTTGTGCTGAGGATGAGAACTGACGGCATTGCTCTGCAGTGACACTATGTCCTTGACGGCAAGTGTCACAGATTACCCTTTCGAGCATGGAAGACGATATCACAAGTATCATGAAGGCTGTATGTGCGGCTCTTGTCGTTCTGTGGTCATGTGCTGACGGGACGAAAGTATATCCGTATCCAAACGATGAGCAGGAGTTGGATCGTCTGGACATGCAGCATCAGATCTGGAAGAAGCTCAACGATGATAAACTATACTTTGCGCCTCTGACGAATCCCAAAAGGATCCTCGATATCGGCACCGGCTCGGGCATATGGCCCATAGAAATGGGTATGCGCACCATCCATTTTTCCGCAACGTCCATTCTAATCGGTCTGCAGCTGCTATATTTCCAGATGCGACGATTACTGGGACAGACTTGTCCCCCGTCCAACCGACCCAAGTGCCTCCCAACGTGCATTTTCTGGTTGACGATGCCACAGAAGCGGAGTGGATGTGGGAGGACGATTACTTCGACTACATCCGGCTGAACAACATGAGCGGATCCTTTCCCTCGGTTAAAGACGTCATGCGGAAAGCCCTGAAATGCCTGAAACCCGGCGGCTACTTGGAATGGCACGAGATCGATCTCAAGTGCCGATGCGATGACGGGTCGATGCCGCCGGAGAACCCCGATGGGTTCAGCGAATACGCGTTCCACGACTGGATGGAACTGCAGGAGCGAGCCGCCAGGACCGGGGAACATCGTCGCCAGTTCCGGATAGCACACCGACTGGCCGACTGGCTCCGCGAGGTCGGCTACGTGGACGTGGAGGATCGGGTGGTCAAGGTCCCCCTGAACCCGTGGCCCAAGGATCCGCGATTAAAAACGATCGGGTCCTGGTACGAGACCAACTGGCTGGACGCGCTCTCGGGATACTCGTACAAACCGTTCCTCAGCCTGGGCTGGTCCAAGCCGGAGATCGAAGTCTTCCTGGTATCGGTGCGCAAGTGCATCTCCAACCGGCACTACCATGTCTACCACAACTTCCACCGGGTCACGGCCAGGAAGTCTTATCCTGGTGAGCGGGCCTCATGACAGTATCTTGCGATAGTCTCCAGAGTCCGCATTTGTGGGTTCTATTTCCAAACGGACCCGCTGCCCCAGACATCGCCATGAAGAAGGGGTTATATACAATACAGAGTACTGTTCATTCACATTCGCCCCGAAGCCTGAGACGGGAGTTCTCTGGTTCGGGCTACTGGCTTAGGCCAGGAAATACATAGCTGCAGGTGGTCTGCCAAGTCAGATCAATCGCATATTGCGACTGCAGCTAGTCATGCAGGTCATCAATTGCATTCACCGCTGTCTTCATTAACGATTTTTTACTTCTTTTCATTGGCTACAACATCATTTACGGTTCTACATACCATGCATCAACGGGGTTTCGCTTGCTTTAGGGGAAACAAAAAACAAAACAAAAGGGGGCAAAGAAAAAAAAGAAAGAGAGATAATCCAGGACCAGGCTGGGACGGACGGTGTTTGGATTGGAACAGGACAGGACGAATCAATGTCAACCTTGGCAGAAAGAAGCATCGAGAGCCCGACTGGATTAAGCAAGTCATGGCAAGATGAACAAGGGCGAGGACCAGGAGGTGATCGTTACGATTTTTGCATGCATGATTCATGATGACCCCGACCAACCAAACAGAAACAAAAACCTCAGCACATCCATCCCCATTCACATTAGAACTGGAGTTGATCATCAATCAATCCTATCCTATCCTATCCTATCCTGAAAATCCTGCATTTTGCATTGGCATTGGCATTTGCATTTCCTGTATTGCATGCATGATGATACTGATTGATACTGATTGATACTGCTACTGAGTGATACTGAGTGATACCTTGTTTCTTGTCGAGAACATTGCATTGCATTTGCATTGCATATAGCAGATGCATATACATACATAGCTCATTGTCATTGTCATTGTCATTGTCGAGAATTTCTTTGTCTTGCTTTGTCCCAAAACTAAAAGCTTTTCTTTTTCTTTTCTTCTTCTTTTGGTTCTCTCTCTTGTGTCATAGAGTAAATAAATATCTAGATAAGAGTGGGAGTGGGAGTGGCCGTGGAAAGGTGAGGGTGATGGGGACAGGAATGCAAAAAGAGTTCAGATTTCAGATATTACACACTATCCATCCTCTCTCTCTATATATAATGAGTCAGATGTACTGTACTGCAGTCTGTTGGCACTGTGTGTGTACTGTATGTACAGTACGTATATGTGTGTGTGTGTGACACCGTAACACCATACATAATAAATAATCATAAATAATGCTGTAACACATTCTGGAAGAGAGAAAAAAAATTCAGGATTTATTCGAATTATTCGAAGACCAAAAAAAAGAAAAGAGAAGAAATTAATTCGGGTATATTATCATTTCTCATCATTCTGATAAATAAGAGAGATACCATACATAGATCCATACATCCATACATCCATACAGTATAGCAACAATACTAATACTATGTAATAGTCATAGCGAGCATGTCAATAGTTGAAGGTTGATTCTACGCCCCCCCGCGCAGTCGCACAAGCGAAAATTTCGACTTGAGCGGTTTCCACAGACTCTGTCTGCGCTGGAGCCGTGGTGTTGGTGTTGTTGGTGTTAATTGTTGTTGCTGGTTGACTGCTTTGCTGTTACTGTTGCTGCTGCTGCTGCTGCTGCTAGACTGTAGATACTGCAGCGCAGGTGTAAAGACTTGTGCTGGCGCAGTGGGGTATGTTTTTGATACTGGTGTGGTAGTAGTAGCTGGATGCTGATGCTGATGCTGATGCTGTCGTCCTCGCATCCGCTCTGCGAATGATGCTCCTCCTCCTCCTCCAGAGGCTAATGGCTTTGATGACGATGGATGCGATGTAGGTGGTTGTTGTTCCGCTGCTGCTGCTGCTGCTGCTGCTCCTCAAGTATAGCATGAGGCTGGGTCATCCGCGGCCAGGACGGATATGCGTAGGTATGCTTGGCCTCGAGATTGATGTCCATGATGCTCCGTGGCGGGCTTGCAATGAAGAGACGGTCTGAGAGAGGGAGTGGATGATTTTTCGCGCTGCTATCTGCAGGTGCAGGAACAGTCGCATCTGGTCTGGAGTGATTTGTTCTAGGGCTGTCGACATCGTCCGACACATTGCCCTCTTCTGTCATATTCTGTCGATAATGGTAATACCCCCCCGACGCGGTAAACTCATTGCAGAACGCGGCGTACGTGTCAGAGACATCGTCAACGGGCTCTGTCTGACGGATGCGGCTGTCGTAGGCGAACTGCCGAGACGTCCGTTTCGACACCCATCGCGACAGCCGCCGGAAGGTGCGCTGTCGGCGCAGGCCGTGGTTTCGATAGGACAGGGACACGGACGAGTTGCAGCTGGAGGAGGCGAAGGAGGCGTTGTCGTCGACGAATTCGATGTCTCTCATTGTTTTTCTTTCTGGGGAATTCAGACTCGAATGTTCGATTTTATGCAGAAATTGTGATATCTTGCGATAAGCAGGCCAAACCGTGCGATGATGAGAGATGCCAATAAATCGTAGAAGTATAATAACCAGCTGGTTGGAGTGTGTACTCTGTCCGTCACAAGCTGTTTGGTGGAAGTGGCTATGTCAAGCAGCTTGGAGACGAATCATCTTCGTATGAAATATCGTGTCGAGACAAGATGGATCTTTTAATCGCGCAATTCAGCCCAGGCTAAATAAATAAATCAATAAATAGAATTCCACCAAGCGTCGCTGGTAGCTAGCTGTATCAGTGCCTTATACCGGCCACGTGAGTATGCTTGATGCCACTGTAA